GGGTGGGGGGGGGGGTCTTTGCATCATGCACAAGTGGAGATTTTCTTGCAGTTCTATATAAACGTACTTTGCACACGCCAATTTCCAGGATAGAGTTCACCGAGTCCATTATGCTTCCGCCATGTACAACACGCGCCTCTCCTGCACTGAATTTAAAGGGAATGAGAGGAGCTGTTTCAACTGGTCTGGAATCAAATTGGCTGTGTTCACTCCCACAACGGCGCTTACGCCAAATTCTATCGGAAGTAACTCATGGTTTGGGATACATATTGCATTTTTTACAGGTCTGTGTTACCACACTTCAACATTGTTCAGTTTTTACAAGATTGTTATCATGCAAACATCCACCACGTGGTTGCTTTTAAGTCTGGAATGATTCTTCAATTGCTGCCTTTACAATGAAGAAAGGTTTTGTTTTGTTTTTTTGAAAAATCAATCTCCCGGGAGAAGGTGGAGAGCAAAAATAAACAAACAGAGAATCTTTTGAAATGACATCTGTGAAAATATTATTAGAACATCCATCGCCACTGACGACACAGATGCTCAAGCCATCTCCGTCTGTCGCTGCAGCGGGAGAGGAGAGGAGGAAGAGGAAACGATAGGGAGGTAAAGAGGAGGGATGACGAGAGGTGAAGACCCAATAGTAAAACTTCCAATCAGGGGGAAAAAAGGCCCCAACAAGAATTCGATTTCACATTTAAGCAAGAAATGAAATGACATGAGAAGTTAAAAGTCATAGGGATGGAAGAAAAACACAAACACAAAAAAATGTTAATTATTTGAGGGGGAGGCAGGAACAGACAAATTACATTTTCATTAATTTCATTTCGGAAAGATGATTACAAAATACCTTGAAATCTTTTGTTTTTATATGCGTTTTTTTTGGGGTCATTTTAATGGGCTACTTTGGATCTCTTTGCTTTGAGAAAGGTCCGTTCCATTTGTAAACGTGTGTTGGTGTTGTGCTTTTGGTCGCATGAAGTACATTGAGCTGCCGGTGCGTATAAAACAAAGTAGCCTTATCGACAGTGGTCGTAGAACAGATTAAATGTATCTCAAGGCACCAACCAACAATGGAGGGCAAACAAAAATGAAAGGAATAGAAGAGATGAAAAAAGGGAAGCCACCAAGGACACGAGGAGGTGGCGAAAGCGAGTAAAGTAGCCAACGACGGAGTGAGGTAGAGACGTATTTACGGCTCACTTCAGTTTGGACCATTTGCTCCGTTTTGTATGTACAAAAAAAAAAAAATCCATGGAGCAAAATGGGAGCCAAATCATTTCATCACCTCCTCTGTCCTAATTGCAGCCATATGCAATTTTAAAGGCCTCCTTTCCTTTCTAATGGCTCCCAAGAGGAAGCCAGGCTTAATTGCTGCAGCTGGCCATGAGACTTGTCTTTTTCTCTCATCCTTTGCTATCCCCCCCTCTGCCCGTGGGACTCACTGTACAATTGACAAGCTGACGTGCGGAAACTACAATTCTACAAGCTTTTAGACTCAATAAAATTCTTGTCATTGCAAAATTGAAGACAGCTGTTTTATTTCACTTTTAAAGGGGACATGTTATGGAAATGTACAGTTACATTTCTGAGGGCATGTTCTGTTCTAAATTACCGACCCGTGTCACATACAATAAGGTGAGTACACCACTCACGTTGGTATTATTTTCACTGAGGGGTGTGCTCACTTTTGTTGTCAGCGGTTTAGACATTAATGGCTTTGTACACTGACTACGGCCGTCTGTGGCTGCATCACGGTTCACTTTTTGCGGCTTCACCGAATCGTCGAATATTTGCTTGTGATTGTTTTTCCACACGGACTTTTACAACAGACTCATTTTGCAATAAGGGGTAGCCGGGAAGAAACAGTGCGTAAAAGTGAGAATGTGTAAAGTTTGGGATCATTTCATACTTAATAAGAGAAGCTACAGCGTAAAGTGGCTATTCCAAAGTATGACTAGCTAAAGTTACACTGCTGCACATGTCTGAAGAAAGAAGTTGTGGTGTCGGGAGGCAAAATAGCGAGGCCAAAATGGAGCTAAAAACTCTATTTTCTTAACAGGCTATTAACACCACAACATTAGTTCGTACAACTCACGGAAGTCGCCATTACAGAACTCCTCTCCTTCCTTTTTTATCTCCACAGGATTTTTTTAATCGCAATACCGCCACCTAGTGTACAGTCAGAGAACATAACAGAAGTGAAACATGTTTTTGAGACAAATAACATACACTTTAATCAGACACTTAAAATGGATTTTCCCAAGACCACCAACATGAGGATGAAAGAGCAGCGGGCTGCCGACCCCTGGGGAAGATGGCTCGGATCAATCAAACCAAAAATACAGGAAACACCAGCACATGGTTAGACGACTTGCGGGTGGCCTCAATGGATGCCGTCACTCAACACATAGAGTGGCTAACTTTTTAGCCAGTTAGCAGCAGGCATACTCGACATTCTCACTCACTGATGTAAACATCACTCAACCGACACGCCCAC